CCATGGAAATAATTATTACCTTGCTGGGGCAAATAAGCTATATCCCTGTGTGTGCCCATGTTAAAGGATAATTTTCAAAATGGCAATCATGACTCATACAATTATAGCATTAACACGTGTCAAAGATTTTACGCAACTCATGAAAGATTTTACAGCTAGCTCAAAGGAACCAGAGAACAAACACATATAGGCAGTCACTGAATGCTGAAGTGAATTTAGAAATAGGTACAAAGCTAGTCAATATCCATAGGGCAATAAAATGTAAAGTTGGAATCATCTCTTGGAGAGCAAGGGAGCCATCAACTCCATCTTCATAGGACAACATTCATTTGCAACTTTAATGGATGTGAATCATTTGATTACTATCAGTTTTCTATAGCTTTCAGACTTGTAAAATAATCCAGTCAAAGACAGTGAAAGGCATAGACCCCTATAGAATCAGGTAACCCTGAGGGGCCCCAGGACAATGCCAGCATTCCACTGAAAGAACACCTCACAATCTTTTTTGCTGATGGCAATCTTTTACAGTTTTTCCTGACAGCAAGGTAATGAGCAAAGGAGTCCTCGCGTAGGAGGCTGAAACTGAGAAAGAGGATCTTCCGTAGATGAGAAAGGAGATATCCTATTATCACGATCCTGAGTCTGGGCTGGCCTTGAAGGCGTCTTCCTGGCCAGGAGCGTCTTCCTAGAGATGGGAGGGGAAGATGGCTTTTGTCTTGAAGAAGCAGGATGGGAGCTAAGCAAGATTCTTGTCTGACTAGCTAAAGAATGAGTGGATCTATCCTATAAAGCAGATTATTTATTTTCAGGTCATTTACTTAATTATTTTTTGGTCTTTTTGTTAACCCTTATTTTTTAGCAAAGTCTTTTTTTTTTTTTTTTAATGCCTTTCAGGCTGGCCTCAAGTGTGTAGAGGGGACATGAAGAAAGAGCCCTGTATTTACTGTCATTCACAGAAGGAAGAGGCAAGCAGGGCCTCCTGAGGCCATCAGGGTGGTGGCAGTAATCAGTGAGGGCCCTCCCCCAACCCTGGGGACCAAGCATTCGCCCAACACATGGATAAATATACATACATGAAACAAGGGTAATATAATGATCTTTGTGTCCCATGGTATAAAAACTTAAAACTTCAAGATATAACCTTAACTGCAGGATTAGACAAATAATGAATGTTAGTTTGCCTTTTATGAGGCACTGTTTTTAGGGGAAAGACTCAACAGTGTGAGGTTCAGGTTCCAGCTCTGTTACTCTAGTGTGAACAGGAGAAAAAGTTAATCTCTGAGGTCTTAATCTATGAAATACGTTCTGTGAGCTGATATATATGGAGACATTGTTATGTTATAGGAAGACCTAATCCATGCCCTCAAAGAGCAGCAGCACGCATGCCTGTAAGCAAGTACAGCTGAGTACAAGGGGAGGGGGAAGAGAGGTTATTCGGGGCGGGGGGGGGGCGCAGTGACCAGACAGGAGCTTGGAGGCCTGGACAAGTGGCCTGGGTCTGAGTGTGAGCTTGGAGCACTGAGAGACAAAGAGAGGGTCGCAACCAAATATGGAGGGGTCTGACTTTTAATGCTTAAATTACCAGAGGTGGGGGCGCGTGGGTTGTAGAGAGGATAAAGTAGGTAGAGTCAAATATACAGTAAAGAAAGGGAACTAGACTTTGGGTGGTGAGCACACAGAGAATGCAGATGTCAAATGTGTTATACACCTAAAATTTATGTCATATTATTAACCAATGTTACCTCAATACATTTAATTTTAAAAAGTTTTAACTAAATGATCGCTACTGTTCTGTCTACCTTGGATTATGATCTAAAATATTACTGGTGAGTGGTAAGAGTTAATATATTGTGATTAATTTGAGTGGTTATTGTATTCATAATTCGTGACAGCCAGATAATTAGACCGACCAAAACTGCATGTTCCCTTTTGTATAACTTTTGGCCTTTGTAACCATGAAAAGGTGGGAAAAAGAGTGCCAATGCCCTTGGTCAAAATCACAGTCTTGCTATTCCATCCTTGATGTTACTGCCTACATTTTTTTTTTATAGTGGAAAATTTCAAATGTATAAAAGTAAACATAATAGGATAATGGACTCACATTACTCAGCTTCAGCAATTACCACATTTCTTGTTTTATTTATTCCTCTACTCACTTCCTACCCCTCATTCAATTATTGTTATTGTCCTCTATTGTTCTTACTATTTCTAGGTAAAATTTACATACAGTCAAAGGTACAAATCTTAGATATATGTTTGGACAAATACACCTGTGTAATCTATTTCCCATTGCAATAAAAAACATTTGCATCTCCCTCCAAAATTCCCTTTTAGCCCTTCCCAGTTTCTCCCCATCCCCATCCCACCTTCAGCTAGAATCAATCTCTCTCTCTCTGTCCTAGGTTTTTTGTTTTTGTTTTTGTTTTTTTTTTACCTTAGATTAGTTTTGCCTGTTTTAGAACTTACATAATGGAATGTCCTGTATGTACTCTTTTGTTTCTGGCTTCTTGCACTCAGCTCATTATCTGAGTTTCGTCCATGTTGTTGAGTTTATCAGTAGTTTCCTTGGTTGTATTGCCGAGCAGCATTCTGTTGTATGAATTTATTACATTTGTTATCCACTCTTTTGTGGAGGGGCATTTGGTTGCTTTGTACCCGTCTCAGCCTTTATGTAGTAATGTGATCAGCCGGAAGTGCCTGGGGGCACTCACCTGGCCCCGCTGAGCTTCCCAGAGACGTCTCCCCTTTCTGTACCGGTGTTATGGCCTGACTGAACCTTACGCTTTTTCATTATGATCGCAATATGCCCTTCAACAATAAACATGAAGGAGCTTTGAAGAAAACAGAGTTTGTTACTTGTGGGACCTTGCGATGGACAAGGCACTTCGCGGGGTACACGTATCTATCTTGGGGCTGGCAATGCATTCATTTGGGATAGCCTTTGAGGAAGCAGTGCCTCTCTGAAGTGTATGCCTTCTCAGTCGCTTGTCAGGCGCTTGTCATTACCAAAAGAAAAGCCAGCTGTCAGGGCTTGCACTGTGGTTGTTTCTAATTTTGTGCTATTGTGAATGAAGTTGCTTTCTTGTATGAATTGTTTCATAAACATGTTTCCATTTCTGTTGGGTAAGCCTTTAGGAGTGAAATTACAGGATATAAGGACAGGTACATATTTAACCTTAAAATAAAACAGCCAGTTTCCAAAAGTGGTTGTAGCCAGAGTGTATGAGAGGTACAGTTGCTATACATCTTTTCTCGCATTTGATATCATCTATCTTTAATTTTAGCCATTCTCATGCTTATGTAGTGGTATCTCATTGTGGTTTTTATTTGCATTTCCCTGATGCCTAATGACATTGAACATTTTGTCGTGTGCGTATAGGTCATTCATGTATGATAGTTTGTTAACAAAGTCTTTTGCTCATTTCTAATTGGGTTGTCTTCCGGTTATTGAGTTATGTCTTTCAGTAGTTCTACACTTGGTCTAAATACAAGTTCTTTGTGAGATGTATGTTTTGTTAATATTTTCTCCCACTCTGTAGCTTGCCTATTCATTTTCTTAATAGTATCTTTTGATGAGCAAAAGTTTTATTTTTTATTGAGTCTAAGTTATCAAAGTTTTTGATTATAGATTTCTGTGTCCTGTCTACAAAATCTTTACATACCTTCAGATTGAGGATATAGTCTCCTATGTTTTCTTCTAAAAGCTTTGTACCTTCAGCTTATATATTTAGGACTATGGCCCATCCACCTCAAATTAATTTTTGTTTATGGTGTGAAGTTGGAGTTAAGGTTCATTTTTTTTCCCTGCGGATATACAATTTTTGCGCCATTTATTGAAAAGACTTTTTCCCTGCCTCAAGTTGTTTTACGACATTTATTGAAAAGCAGTTGTCCAAGTGTGGAGTTTATTCCTGAATTCTCTTCTTTTCCTTTGATCTACTTGTATATCCTTACATCAGTATCACACTATGTTGATTACTATAGTAGGTCTTGAGATGGGTGCTATAAATAGTACAACTTTCTTGTTATTTTTCAATATTCTTTTGGCTATTCTAGGTCCTCTGCATTTCTACATATACCTTAAAAGTCACCTTGTTCATTTTAATGAAAAAGCTTGCTAGGATTATGAATTATAAATTATTTAGGGGGAGACTTAAGTTCTTAACAAAGTTGAACCCAGGAACATGGTATATATATTTCATTTATTTGGGCCTTCTTAATTTTTCTCAGCAATGGTGTAGCTTTTAGTATAGACATTTTGCATGTCTTTTGTTAAATGTGTTTCTAAGAATTTTTTTATTTGCTGTTATTGTACATGGATTTTAATTTTTTTATTAAAATTTTTTCTAGGTAGTATATAGAAATACAGTTGATTTTATATATTAATCTTATACCCTGAGACATTACACTTACCAAGTTTTTAACTGACAGTTCCTGAGCACCAACGACTTTCCTCCCTTCATGTTTTAACATGGCTTTTAGAATTGAATGTCCTCGCCTCTCATGTCTGCCCCAAAAGAGGGCCAGTGTGAACACCTTGTCGTTTGTGAAGTCATCTTACCTAATAGTTGGATTCAAATAGCTCCTCCTAGGAGAGCCTCTATTAGAGCATTTTTCACTGAATGAATGAGCCATCCTTTGAAGTCAAGAGCTGTACTTTATCTCCCCTTCCATCCCCACAATACCTAGCACGATGCCTTTGTTCACAGTTGAGGGGTACATCTTTCCAACATTTATCTCAGAAGGTCCAGGAAATTATGTAGCTCTGGGATGCGGTAGGCTCGGGCAAGGGGAAATCCTTACAGGCACCTTTAGCCAATTGGAAGCAATCCCTGAAGCGTGTCTTAGAAAGGGAAAATAGACCTTCTATCAAAAACATACCCTGTATTCTTCCTTTTTAAAGATATGTTTAGTAGTGCATGATCTGCTACACTCTAAATGACTTAGGCTTTTGCTGGCAGTATTTAATTTCTGTAAATTGTTTCCTTCTTGTTTTCTAGGTGGCTGACTGTGCCTGGGATGAAACAATAAAGATATATGATCCTGTTTGTCTTACTGTGCCTGCTTGAGACAAACTACTCTGGTCAGAAACAGAATATTGGCTGAAGAACTACTTACCAGAAAATCAATTCTATTGATAACATAGTCATTATGTGTTTACATGCTATTTAGATTTCAAATTTTAAAAATTTACCCTGAATCAGTTTTGAGGCAGCTGATAAAGACTTTAGCTAACCATTTAAGCCTGATACATATACCATATTTCTTAAAATTCTAAGGAATAATTGATGTTAGGGTATATCTTATAGCATCTATTAAAATATAACCTCTGTATTATAAAATGAAAGAAAATACAGGAGATGCATAGAGTATATAGTGACATATTTCATTTTTAATGTGTCATTTTTGATGTAAAATATAATCATTGCTGTTGATAAAAATTAGAATAAACTGCATCTCTTGATCATTTATTATTAAATGACATCCCCAGCAAGATTGCTTTTTCTAATGTGGTACCTGTATGAATACAATACTGTACGTAATGCAGATGTATCTTTGATTTAGTAACAGAGCTCTAATATAGATTTGGTTTGTTTAGCAGGTATTTATTGTGCATCTGCCATGGGCTTGACACACAGACTGAATGACTCGCTCAAGGACTGGTGCTGTGCTTTAAGAACATGGGATGTTATGAGTTGAGCTTACTTTTTTCCTTTTTTAGTTATTCAAATCTTTTTAGATATTGTTTCATGACCCTATATTTCTCTCTTCCTACTTCCCTGCTATCAAGTGTTTAAAACAACAACAACAGGAGAAAAAACTGGCTACTGGGCAAAAAGTCTGAGGTTCTACTATGGTTTCAAGCTATTACCCTTGACATGGGCCCTAAATAATGCCATCAGCCTTTTGTACTACCTCCCTGCATCTCCTTGAAAAATCTTTAGGTGTTGATGCCCTGAAAAAAAATGAGTTAAAAGGGAAAAATTAGTAAAACAAACAACTTTGCATAACATTTATGTTTTTATATAATATTAAAATAAAATGTGTTATAAATGACAAAAATTATCATTAAATTTTTAACAAGTTAATGAGAATTTTTAAAGAGCAAAATATATTGTGGTAATCAGAAAAAAAATAAAATATATGTATATTGTCTAATTTACGTATTTCTTTGTTTACTTGTTCCAAAAAAATTAGGACTGCTCACAGGTGCGCGCACGCACACACATACACACACACACACACAGAAAACAAACAAAAAATAAGAATGAGTGAAAGATAGAACGAAAGGAGACAACGCAGAGCCAGGAGCAGGGCTTGAAAATATGTGCCTCAGAATCAGAAATTTGCTACTGGCAGCATCCGTGGAAAGCCTGGTCAAGGACAGAATTCAATACCAAAGGCCTGAAGGCAAAGCTTTGTCCTAGTCCTAGGCTTGGCCCTAGCATCATGCCTAGTACATGGAAGGTGCTCAATAAATATTTGTTAAGTGAATGAATGGACTCAGGGAAAGTACAGTTCTTTTTAGTGCTTAGATAAATCAATACTAATTGTTTTCAAGAAGCCCCATAAAGAGGACACTGCTTAACATGAATATATTGTAAGGAACAAGTAGCTCAAACTCATCCTTCGAGCTGTCATGATGATGAGATTCATAGAGCTGTTTCTTGTTGCTTCCCTTTGCAAGAACTAATGGCATCACACCAAGCCAGTTCAATAAAAGCAGGTTCACACTGGGTGTTCTCTGTATCAGCAGAATTTATAATTGACCTGTAAAAATACCTAACCCACATCATACTTATAATTAATTGAAATTACTTATTTTCCTTTTAGAATGGAAGAGATTTTATGAAAATAATCTGCCATCTATCTTTTGAGACAAATATTTGAGATTTAAAAGCTAACATCTTTCTTGATTTATTTTTTCCCCTCTATTTTGGAGATGTTAGAGATCTTTAGAATACTAACTTTATAATACTTAGCTCAGGTTTGTGGAGTCTCTCAATATAAACGAGTGTGGGTGAACATTTACCCAGTGGGTTCCCTGGAGCTTGGAAAAATTAGACAGGAAAACTAGAAGGAAAGGAGCTCAATTCTCTCCTGAAAGAGAAAGGGCAAGATTTTTTCATTGTTGGTGGTTCACAAGCCAAGCAGCCTCTGAATTTTAAGAGGGCAAGAGTCATTCCCTCTAGGCTGGGAAAATGCATCTGTCTTCCAGCTACTGAGCTCTTAGCTTCCCCGCCAACCCTCCCGTCTGCCTCCCCACGCTCCTCCTGCCCCTGTGTGTGGTGACCGCACAGCACTACAGTCACTGAGGGCACACAGGTCGCTGAGCATCTTCTGTGATCTGGACACTATGTGAGATGCGTTCTGTAAGTTATCCCTCGTAATCCTTATAACGTCCCTGCAAGGAAGCCTCCTGCTTTTCCAGACAAGAAAATGAAGGCCATCAGGAGTCAGGAAGTGTGGAGCTGGAATTTGGAATCTGCTCGGATTGATATCCAAACCCCTGGTCCTGCCACACGGCCCCCTTTTCCTCAGAATGACAGAAATCGGCCCCCTGAGAAATAGTAAAGATGCGGACGGAGCTCTCTGGTGACTAGATCCTGGCCATTTCTGAGAAAACTGGCAAAATTGACCTTCCAACTCTAAAGAGCTATGAAAATGACCCTGGGTCTGGAATGACTCTCCTAGGGTCTGTCACCTTCTTTGGCACTTTTTAACTGCATGTCTTAGCTATGATTCAGCTCTTCCAAAAATGAACTCGTTAATATCTTACTTAACATGCCTCTTCCTGTATGAGGTAACCTACTTAAATGTTTTTTACTTCCATGTATTACTGAGGACGTCCAAATCTGCATCTCCTGCCTTCTCCACCTGGGTCTCCGACAAGCCTTTGCACTCATGTTCTTCTAAACCAAACTCATCTTGTTTGCTAAACCAGCTTCTCTGGCACAAGCGTGTTCTTTTGTTCTTCCAGTGCTGTCCACCAGGGCACTCAAGCTAGAGACCTAAACGCCATCCCTGTTCCTTCCCTTTTCCCCCACTTCTCCGCTCCAAGACACATCAAATAGATCCCTAAGTCATGTTCCTTTTTGCCACCCAAATACTTCTCCATTTTTTCTCTTCCCGTCCATCCAACCACCTCTGCCCCATTCAGTCCATCTTTAGCTTTTCTCTGGATGATCACAGCAGCTTCCTAAGTGACGCATCTGTTGACACATCTGTTTCTCGATGACCCCTCGGAGTCATCCTCTTCAACACAGCTGCCCGAGACAGGTCTAAAATGCAATCTGCTTACATCAGCCTCAGTGTCAAACCTTTCTCCGCATATAGCATTGCCTACAAGAGAAAGTTCAGGTTCACTCAGCAGACGTCCAAGGTCTGCTTCTCTCCACGCTGTCACACGCCTTGTGCTCCAGCAGCACCCGGGTGCTCACAGGCTCCCCATGAAATAGTGCACATTTTCACTTCTCTCATTGCTCAAGTTAGTCCATGGGCCTGGATTGTCCTGCTCTTGGCTTGGCAAATTCTTAGCCATTATTTGAAATCATGTGAAATAACTAAAGGAAAAGATTAAAAACATACAAAAATTAAAATAATAAAATACACCATTAGCAAAGCTAAAAGAAGACATGTTGGAAGGATATGTTTGCAGCATATGTAATAAATGGTTATCCAGAATTGATAACATAAAAGTTTGTCCACTTTTAACAACAGCCAGTTCACAGGTTTAGAAATGCAAATATTTAGTACACTTCAAAACAGATACTTAGGCTTTGTCTTATTGATGATGAAGAAATGCAAATTAAAGTAATTAAAGTGAAATCCTGTTTTTTGCTTATCAGTTTGGCAAATGTAAAATATTGATAATATTCAATAGTGGTTAAAGTAAAAGCACCGTTATATACTTTTTTTGCAGGGCAATTTGACATAAGAGATTTAAAGTTACCAGGGGACCAAACAGTTCCATTTTTAGAATCCCCTGCCTTACTCTCCAATCCCACTTCCCATCTCCCCCCATCCCCATCCTACCCCTCACAAATAGTAACAGAAGTACATTAAGTACAAATGTCCAAAGACATTCATTACATCATTGTTTGGTAAAACCTAGATAGATACCTGTCTACAGAAGAAAGATTGTACTGTAGAAGAGTCATTTAAAAGAATAAGGTAGAACTATGTAGCCTGACATGGAAAAACACATTGCTATTGATATAGTTATCTGTTTGTGTAACAAATGACTCCAAAATTTAGCAGCTTAAAACAATAAACATTTATTTATCTTACAGTCTCTATAGGTCAGGAATCCAGCAGTGGCTTAGCTGACTTATTCTGGCTCAGGTTTTCTCATGATATTGCAGATAAGCTGTCACTGGGTCCACAGACATCTGAAGCTCAACTGGGGCTAAAGGATCAGCTTCCAAAGTCACGAGGTTGTCAACAGGCTTCAAAGACTCACGATGTGGGACTGTCCAGAGGCTGAGCATCCCTACAACATAGCATCTGGCTTCTCCCAGACTGAGTGATACAGGAAAAGAAAAGCAAGATGGAAGCCTCAGTCTTTTATAACACAGTCTCAGGAGTGACACCATCACTCCCCTGTATTTTATCGGTTACACAGACCAACCGCGGCACAGTGTGCAAGGGGTTAACCAAGTGTGTGAATACCAGGAAGTGGGAGATCTTTGGGGACTACTTTAGAGACTGGTTACCACAATAGGCTTTCAGAAATAGCAAGTTATAGACAAATGAGTATTATATTGTAATTTTGTTTTTTAAAAGAGGGATTTAAGTATGTATATATATACAATATATATACAAGAAAAACTGAATGGCTTACACCAAAATTTTAACAGTAGCCAGCTCTGCGTAGCGGGGCTGGTATGGGGTCAGGGATGGGGAATATTGAAAATAGCATGTTCACTTATTTATAAAGTTTGTTTTTACGTACTATGTATGGTGAGGATGTGTTATTTTTGTAATTAAGCAGAATGAAATAGGGCCCTCCTTCCTTCTGCAGGAAGCTTTCTCTGATACCCTGTCAGGCTGATTTTATTGCCCTCCTCAGTGCTCTCTGGTTTCTGCCACAAGACCCCACCCTTGCATGAGCTGCCTCACCTCCACCTGTGAACCCTAAGGACTAAGATGGGTGCTCACCTTCGACTCCTCTGAGGCTAACAGACTGCATAGCATAAAATACTTGCTCTGCATGTATGTTGAATGAATATATATAATGCCATCAATATTTATTGAGTCACTCCAGAGATAATCGAGGGTGAATCTAGACCCTTGATACCTTGATACCAGTAGGTCAAATAGCTTTTTGACCCTCAGATCTACATTCTTGTTCAATTACCTTTGCTAAACACAGTATTCTCATTTCTCTCATTTTTCTTTGGGAGCTTATCTAGTAACTGGTGTTGGAGATCTGTTAATTTTTTTTAAAAATGAAAACCCTAATGGAAAAGAATTACATGCAATAAAGTGGAGAAAATGTACTCTGTTTCATGCCAAGGTAGATTTCAAATATTAAACTAAATATTCTTGCCTAAATGAGAAGGGTAAGATAGCTGAATCAGCCCCAAATCTTTTACCTAATGTTCGTATCACAAATGGAAGCAATTATAATTGCTGGCAGAAATGAATCATTTCAAAACTATGTCTGTGCAGACAATTCTTTATTATATTCACTTAAGATGGCTTAAAGCAACCATCCTTTAATTGCAATGGTCCCCAGAAACAGAGATGTTATTTGCTGATGGCTTTCAAAAGTTAATTTTCAAAGAGACTTTTTTAATCTGAGAGTACTCTGAATGTATGCTTATCCAGCACACATACACCCAATTTGAACTGTTGCTTCAGACTTCCTTATTTTCTAAAAAAAGAACGTGGACACTTGAAAAACAGAGTCCTTGAAAAGCCAATAGCGTGTAACCACAGCTTTTAGCAACAAAACCCGAGAGTTCCCCAGGGCACCAGAAGCGTGGGTTTCGGTGTAATGCTTTCCAGTGTTATTCCTGGAAAGTTGGCGTAGTGGACCATTCGAAAACATTTTCTTGAGTGCCCACCTGTCGGAGGCAGGGAGGTTCCCCACACGGGGCTCAGCACCGGCGCTGGAGGTTTACTCGAGACCGTGCGCTCTCTCCTGGAGCCAGGCTCCCAGCAGATGCAAAACTGGCCCGTGAAGGGCAGAAGCGATGCCCTGAAGTAACTTATTTTTCTGCTGCGGTAATACCCGCGGCTTCCATCTGGGCTGGAAGTGCTGCGTTCGGCATAGAGGTGGAAATATGGAGGGGCAAACAAGAGAACCACTAGAGAAACGGATCGTGTGTATTCGGGCAATGTGGTGCAGCATTTGAAGGTTAGGAGGTTGGGATGCCGGTGGCGGTGGCTGGAGAAAAAAAGCCAACGAAAGGAGAGGCGGAGCGCAGCAATGTCGAGCCCTCTTCCTCGCACCTAAACCCTGACCAAGCCCATCATTTTTAAGTAGCGCTAAAACCAAACGGTGTCTGGCTTTTAACCGTGACCTCGGCTGAGCGAACTTTACTGGTGCCCCGTTCACGGGTCTAGGCGTTACTTTCCAGGGAACAAAATTCAGATAAAAGGGTCACAAAAGCCTTTGCGCTGCAGGAAATGAGAATTTTCTTTTTCTTTTAGCCAAATGGGAAGTAAACAGTTCACAAGTCCCGCGGGGCGCAGAGGTGCCCTGGCCTGGGAGGTAGGAGGTAGAGGTGTTCGGCTCGCCAAAGCAGCTCACCGCAGCCCCGCAGGCTGCGGAAGGTTCGCGGTGGCTACACCTGGTCTCAGCTCGGTCTCGGTCCCAGTTCCTGCCCCCGCTGACGCCCCCAGATTCCCAGCGCGGTCGTGCGGCCCCGCTTCTCGCCCGGGCCACGGTCGCCCCGGCACGCCTCGGGAACCAGGAGACGCTACTCACTCCAAAGACTTAGTTTCTGCTCTTTGGCTCATTTCATATCCTTGCCTCACTTGGAACACGTGCCCTTGCCCCCGCCCCCAGGCTGCACAGCCGCCGGAGGCCAGGGCGCCCCCGGAAGCTCCCTCAGAGCCGCGCTCGTAATTACAGGTCCCTCCCAGGATGGCGCACGGACAGGGTGAGCGGTGCCTCGGACCGGAAGGGACCCGCCTTCGCGCCCTAAAGCACGCCGGGGCGGCGTCGCGGGGCCGTGGGGTCCTTCAATGTCCAGGCTTCAGCGCCCTAATCGGAGCAGCAGGGAACTCAGCAGCCCGCTGTCACCGACGTTTTCCCCTCCCTGGCGAGCAACTGGACGGGGACCCCGCGGCTGCACCGGGAGGGACCGAGGGTGGAAAACCCTCTGCAGCGCGTGGGGAAGGAGGCTGGACGCTGTCACTTGTTGCGGCTAATAAACGGGGCTCGACCTTGGGGCGCTGGTGTTTCTAAAAATGTTCTTCAGCTGGGCCCGGGGTCCCCGAACCTGAGTCCTTTGACTCAGAGCCGGGAAAAAGGGGCTAGCCGGAGCGGCTGGCACTGCGGGAGGAGAGAGGTCCGCGCCCCGAGAGCCCGCTCCGGTGGGCGCTGGGTGCCGGAGGGGCGCGGGCCGGGTCCCGCTTGCCGCAGCTGCCCGGGCTTCCAGCCGCAGAGTGTTCTCCCTGGCGGTGAAACCGCGCGGGACACCACCCATCGCAGCTCATCACCTACTTAGAAATTGCTGTCGCTAGGATTCCCGCCACTCCTCTCAGACCAGCCCCCCCAGCCCTGCCACTTTTCGGAGTCCCCCGCCCCCGTCCCTGCCTCCTGGGAGCTGCGGGGCAGTCGGACGCGGAGCCGCCGAGCCGCGAGGACGCCTGGCTGGAGCTGCCCTCCGCAGCTGAGCCGGCGCCCCGTGCCCTCCGCCCGCGGCGTGGGGCTGGCTCCCCCGCCGCCCTCGCTCCGCTCCTCCCGGCTCTCCTCCCCGCTCTCCTCCCGCAGGTCCCGGAGCTCCGACACTGCCGGGTGCGGCGGAGCCGGCGCGATGCGGCAGCTGTGTCGGGGCCGCCTGCTGGGCATCTCGGTGGCCATCGCTCACGGGGTCTTCTCGGGCTCCCTCAACATCCTGCTCAAGTTCCTCATCAGCCGCTACCAGTTCTCCTTCCTGACCCTGGTGCAGTGCCTGACCAGCTCCACGGCGGCGCTGAGCCTGGAGCTGCTGCGGCGCCTTGGGCTCATCGCCGTGCCCCCCTTCGGCCTGAGCCTGGCGCGCTCCTTCGCGGGGGTCGCAGTGCTCTCCACACTGCAGTCCAGCCTCACGCTCTGGTCCCTGCGCGGCCTCAGCCTGCCCATGTATGTGGTCTTCAAACGCTGCCTGCCCCTGGTCACCATGCTCATCGGCGTCTTGGTGCTCAAGAACGGCGCGCCCTCGCCGGGGGTGCTCGCGGCCGTGCTCATCACCACCTGCGGCGCTGCCCTGGCAGGTGAGCGGGACCCGCGCCGACCCCCAGCCCACCCCCACCCACGGGCAGAGACGGCAGGGGTGACTAGGGCAACGTCCTCACTTCCAGATGGGGAGACAGGCGGAGAGCTTTGAATGTGGTCGCTCGGCTCGAAAACGCGACTTCTGAGACCCAGAGGAGCCCTCCCCAGAGCTCCAGCCGCCCCCTTCGGAGCCCCCACCCCCACCCCCATCCTGGTTTTCCACCCCCGCCCCTGCCTCACCCTGTAGAGCCCTTCCCGCCACCCCCGTCCCCCCATCCCCTCTTCCTTCCTCCGGGAGGGGCGGGAGAGCCGCCCGAGCCCGGGAGCTGGAATCCCCAGACCACGCCGGAAGGAGGGGGCCGTGAACTTCTTTGGGTCAGGCGGGGCTGGATGGGGAGGGGGCACGAGGCGCTGGGAGCAAAGCTTGGACCTCCCGGGTTAGTTTGAGGTCTCAGGCGCCTCACGGGGGGCTGTGGGCCCGCGGCAGAAAGGGCCGGACTGGGACCCACAGGGGCTTGGCTGACTGAGACGGGAGGCGGCGGGAGCGGGAAACCTTAAGGGGGTTAGGGAGGTAGTTTTTCGCCCTACGCGCACCACGCCCAGCCTGCCGGGGTTAGATGCTACTCGTTGGGGATCCCTTTCCCTTCTGGCACCCCACGGTCGGGGCAAGGATGCCAAGCGCCTGGGCAATATCTGTGCCAGCTCCGGGAGCCGCTGTGCCAACCCTGAGGGCATCTGCGCGCTCCAGGGCCTCTGTCTGGACAGAGGTAGGCAGGGCTCCCCGGGGATGGAGCAGGGAAGGCGCCTCTCCTCCTGCCTCGCAGTGGGCTCTCACTGGCCATTCTGTACCCGTGGGCAGAGCTGGGGCAGGAACCCCGTCTACCTTCCACCCCGACGTGTCTCCCCGGGGGATAGCCACCCGTGCCAACCCGGCGTCTTGTCTTTTTCCTTCCTGCTCTGGGTTCTCCACGTGCGCTTCAGGAGCTGGCGACTTGACCGGCGACCCCATGGGGTACGTAACCGGAGTGCTGGCCGTGCTGGTGCACGCCGCCTACCTGGTGCTCATCCAAAAGGCGAGCGCGGACACTGAGCACGGGCCGCTCACCGCGCAGTATGTCATCGCCGTGTCCGCCACTCCGCTGCTCGTCGTCCTCTCCTTCGCCAGCACCGACTCGATCCAAGCCTGGGCCTTCCCCGGCTGGAAGGACCCGGCGATGGTCTGCATCTTCGCGGCCTGCGTTCTCATCGGCTGCGCCATGAACTTCACCACACTGCACTGCACCTACATCAACTCGGCCGTGACTACCAGCTTTGTGGGGGTGGTAAAGAGCATCGCCACCATCACGGTGGGCATGGTGGCCTTCAGCGACGTGGAGCCCACCTCTCTATTCATTGCCGGAGTCGTGGTGAACACTCTGGGTTCCATCATTTACTGTGTTGTCAAATTCTTGGAGACCAGAAAGCAAAGCAACTACGAGGACCTGGAGACGCAGCCCAGGGGAGAGGAGGCACAGTCAGGTGGCGACCAGCTGCCGTTCGTCATGGAGCAGCTGCCAGAGGAAGATGAAAGTGGCGGGTCAGAAGGTGGGAAGGCAGCAGGTTGCTGCGCTCCGCGAAGGGGGCAAGGTGCGAGGGGCAGAGGAGTCCCGCTGGTGGCTGGTAGCTCTGCAGAAGCTAGCAAGAGGTCATTAAAGGATGCTTACCTGGTAGTGTGGAGGTTGGTCAGGGGGACCAAGTATATGAAGAAGGATTATTTGATAGAAAATGAGGAGTTACCCAGTCCTTGAAAAGGAAACACATGTATGTATATATGTACATATATACTTATTTTATATGTTAAAGATAACATTTTAATGAGGGGCTTCCCGACCGTATTCTTTGAGGAGTGGGGAAGGGATGTAAAGAAAGAATCTGAAATGGACAGCAACCAAATCAACACGGGAATGAATTATTTAGCATCAGTTTACCTGAGGCATCACAAAGACAAAAGAATATGAAGGTGCTTAACAAAGTAAAGACAGCGGTTTCAGCTGCAGACTCCTGACACGTTTGTTTTTTGGACACAATAACCATAACCAAATGTCTGCATATACTGGGTCTCTTAACTTCCTCCTCCAAAGATGGGGTAGAGAAATGGTGGCAGCACATAATAAGCTCAAAGATTACATCCAGAGGCACATTTTTGATGATAGATCTACAGTTTTCTATGGCCAGCTGGGTAAAGAGTATATTATTGAAAAGATATGTAAATACACTGAATGGATGTTTACTGTTTATAGTCCTCTGAAATATGTTTACTCTAATTTTCCTTTACTTGTTTTTAAAAAGTAAGTGCTCTAGTATTCTATTATATATTGGTAAGACATGTCAAATTTATTTTGAAATGATGAGTTCTTAGCTTTAATCATGAAGTGTAACTTTGGCTTTTAGTAATTACTATAAGAATATTTTAAAAAGTTGTTTTGGTTCTCTGCTTTATAATATTTATTATTGAATGCCATGACCTTTCTAAAAACCAGTTTTACCATGTCCAATATTTTTTCAAGCAAATGCAATGGCTGAAATAGAATTCAGTATTAAGAAGCCCAAATAGAAGTGAAACCTTCCTGTTAAGCTAGTCCTTGCAAATCACATTGCACATCCCAAACCATGTTACAAAAAGAGCAACTGCTATATTCACTTGATATTTTTCTATCTTAAATTTGTCAAAATAAAGTATGAGTCTATCTGCTAAAAGTCATATTGTTAGAAATTTGTTTGAGACACATATATGTTCTATGGTTGCTGTGTAGCTTGCGTTTGCCTTCAAAGTGTGGAATCTAGTGTCTGGGATGCAGGGATATCTCCTGTGAACTTCCTAAATTAACATGGTGGTTTACTTTGATAGAACAAAACAACTCTCATTTGCCATCCAAGGAAACTGTTACAAAGTAAAGATAAAATACTGCCGGCCTGCTGCAGTATGAAAGCCATACACAGCTGACCTCAGTTAGTGTGGGGTTTGAGACATAATAGAGTTTTCTTGTCAGCCCCATCCAGGGAACATACTTTGACAATAAAAGCACTTTTATTATTTGCTGGTAAGTTCCTGAAACTCTCAAATGGTAGCATCCTATATTTTTCTTTATTTTCCAAAAATCAAAACAAAACAAAAAGCAGAAGCAGAAATGAAATTTCGGCTCCATCAGTTTGGCTCTACAAGCTGGTGAGCCAGCGTGATTGTGGTGGCTTGTGATTGGTCCTGGTTTCCTGGTTTTCAGGGGCAACCGATAGGTTCCCTAGGCACCTCTACAAGCCATTTAAGATGTAGGAGCCCTCACATGGCTGCAGTTAGAAATGCTTGGCTAGGGTTACAATGACTTCTTTAAGAATAAGCATTTAGTTAATTAATGAAATTAATGAGAATTAATAAAAAGCATCAAAGTTGAAGTATATAAAAATATATTTTTTTGTTAATACCACTGTCAGATAAATGGATAGGATGACTGTTTCTCACTGAAAAAAATTCCTTTTGGTTAAAGCTGTGGGTTTGTATTTATTGCAAAAACAGTAACTTCTTCCTGTCAACAAACATGTGTAGGCTCTGCATCAGTTAGAGTTTTCCAGGGAAACAGAACCAAGAAGATTGGGCTTCTTTAAGAACTGCTGCTTACATAGTTTGACACACTGCAACTCTTTCAGCTGTAATCCACTGTTATTACACCGGAGCTTTGTCGGTGTGCTGGGGAGTCAGGGTTAGAAAGGGTTCTACAGGCTTTTAGTGGCCTGTGTCTCTGGGCTGTGACTTAGATGAGACAGGAAGGCCAGAAGGGTCTAGAGTGGGAGGAGCATCCTTTCCCCAGGGTAGGGTAAAGCCTGGGAAGGCTTTCCCCCTGGAGAGTGGGTCTTGGTTGTGGAGAACCCACTGGGTGGGTTTACAATGGTTACTCTTTCCCAAAGTGCCGAGATTTCCTGGAAGTTACCCTCTGAAAAAGTGGGTGCCCCTGGGAGTTTCTCATTCTCTTGGTGGTCCATAATTGGTCTCCAGAAATTTATCAGACTTACCAGTTAAGCATTTGTACCAATGTACAGTGCCAGCCTTCTTCCTGGCAAGAAGGTCTTCCTTGTAACTTTCTGCATTCACTAGCCTATCCAGATTTGACGGGGGTAGGGGGTAGGGTGGGAGTGGGTAGAGGGAAGTTGTTGCCCTGCAACCTCAGTTCCCTGATGGGTCCTAGAAAAGTTGCTGACTTTCAGTTAGTTTATCTTTTTTCTTTCTTTCTTGTAAGAGTGGACATAATGACTTCCAAACTCTTTACATGTTGAAGCTGGAACTAGACGTCCTGGCTGAAGACTTTGGAAAAGCCAGCTCGATTTCTGTAAAGATAGAAGTTGTGAAGGGAAGCTAGACATTCCTAAGGTAGTTTCCAAAAGAAAACACAAGGACCCAAAGCTACTGGCCCGTGTGACTCCTGCCCTCCCACCCTCACGTGGAGTGTTGACCATCGCTGCACTCCAGCGTGGCGATTCGCGCATGTGCACTTGGGCAGCCTTTGAGTCCAAGGGCATTGGGAGCAAGGGTCAATGCACTCTGAGATTGCTATGCCCGTGTGATTGTCACTAGTGTGAATCCCCCCTTCTCTGTCTTGGGGTGCTTCACTTCTGCATAACAGACATCTCCTCTACTTCGGGGTTTTTGTTTTTGTTTTTTTTTGTCGGCCAACTACATGCTATGATGCCCCTAAGTTTCCTGTTAACCTCTAAGTGGTGACTGTTGACCTGACTCACCTGGAGCCTCTTTTTTTAGAGACCATTTTAGATCAGCCAGGCTGGAGTTCAATCACAGCATCTGCTGAAACTGAGCCCCCTCCCTGGCCACTCTCTGCCCCTGGCCCCTCACCCTTTATACACAAACAAGTATGTCTGATTATGGCTATAGTCCTCTCTGCATCTGCTTTGTCCTGTTCCTGAGATAAAGATGCAGGGTTCAGAAGAGAGCCTGTAAACAGAATGGAGTAAAACATAGACAGGCAGAACACACTAGTAAAATGGAGTCCCAGATCCCCTTTGGGGAACCATTCTCTCCCTATTGCTGAGTTCATGTGTTCATGATTGGTCAACACCAGTCAAAGCATTTCCTCCACTTGGAAACTTGATTAGTTCAGGCCTGGTCATGGGACCTGGTCATAGCCAATGAGGTGCAAGGATACTTTGGCAAGACTTAAGTGGCCATATTTTTTCTTACTAGACTTGAACCTTGGAGGATGGGGTAGAGTGGGGCAGATGTGCTGTTGCCATCTGCCACCAGGGAAAGATGTACTAGAAAGCAAACCAGGGAGGGTGGCGGGGGATGGGGAGAGGGAAATGGAGTCCTGGTGACCTCCCATGGCCCTGGTATTAAACTGACTTGCACTTACTTTTTAGTATTCTCCCACGGATTGTCAGTTACATAAAGCAAAGCCTTTTGTTGTTGTTGCTACTTGCTTAAGGCATTTCGAGCTGTGATGTCTGCTGATTACAGCCCACCGAATCCCAAGTGACACAAATCTAAATTAGTGGTTCTCGGCCAGCAGGGTGGGGTGAAGGACTAAAAGAGGTTTTTGGTTTGTTTTTGATTTTGATTTTTTACCACATAAACTGTTATCCTCTGTACCCTACGAGGGACTGGATATGCCTCGCTGGTCTCTTGCAAATTACCATCTAGCATGTATCACCCATGGTCTTAAACAACTCATGGTTTTACCTATTGTCTTTCTCTCCAGTTTACAATTCAGTCGATTCCTACCTTCATGCTTCACAAAGTCGCTGGATATGGAAGAAATGTTGCGTATTGCACACTGTTATAAATAATAATTCCCAGAGTATATTATTATAGGGCTTGCTATGTGCAATTCTAAGTGTTTCTTACATGTACTCATTCATATAATTTTAAAAATATTCGTGTACTTATTCTCAGAACAAACTCATCTTTTCAGACAATAGGAAACAGAAATGTCACTCAGTGGCTTCAAGATGATCACAGCCAGCTCACCCTGTCCCACATCTACTAAAAAAAAATATCCTGGATGAGGGACGTGCATCACAACACTCCTACAGGCTGGTGTTAATATTATCCCAATCATTCAAGGGTTAAACGGAGATATGGAGAAGCTAAGTAACTTGCCCCAGTCCCCGAGCCAGTAACCTGCAGATCTGGGATCAGAGGGAAGCCAGGTGGTCCGTCTCCAGTGCCCATGTTTCATGGCTCTGTGAGCCTGCCTCCTGGCGAGAGGCATCGGCCTGGTGCCCCGAGGCTGGAGAGGAGGGAGTGGCCTTGGGTGGGCAGCTCCAGTGCTGGTCAGTGCTGCAGCTCCGTGCGGCCCCAGGCTCTAGACATCGTGCCTTTCTGCTGTTCTCAGAAAGTAAAGGGATACAACTTTATTTCTAGACACAACTTACACACGGATGTACGTATGACGAGCTCTCCCCTGGTGCGCACTCGGGGGCCTTTCAGAAAGCAGCTGGGAACAGTAAACAGTGGACTAGAAAAAGGGGCGCATTTGCTATTATAACCAAGTATCCCCAAGCTATCCAGCCTTTTGGGCCGATATCTCTTAGTAGTCAAATAAAATAACTTACTCCTCCACCTTATATAACTTTGGACAGTACAGAATTTACTAGTGTTTTTGAGGATTCATTGAGCATGTTCAGAGTGTTGCTGATTATTTCTTGCTCCCAGCTGCAGTTGATCACTTAAAAAAAAACAGCTATATTGAAATGTAATTTACGTACCATAAAATTCACTCATTTTAAGTGCACAGTAATCTTT